ATACTCTCCACGGTTCCACATTAAATCATCACTTAGTAAGCGGAGAATACTACTATAACTTAGCCTATTATTCCCACTATATTAAGAAGTAAGAGGAGGAACTATAACAGGCAAATATAAAGAACACTACAAAGAACACTGCGAAGAACACTGCGGAGAACACTGCGAAGAACACTACGGAGAACACTACAAAGAACACTACGGAGAACACTGCGGAGAACACTGCGGAGAACACTGCGGAGAACACTGCGGAGAACACTGTGGAGAATATTATGAAGAACACTACGGAGAAACCAAGCGGTAATAAGACCACCATCGTCAAGAACACGGCTCAGCTCTCCAAGATCCCACGTTATATTAATCATCCACTCAGTTAGCTACTTAGCTAGCCACTTAGTCTGATACTCTACAAGAGAAGGAGTAAGAGGAGGAACTATAACAGGCAAATGCGGAGAACACTGCGGAGAAACCAAGCGGCAATAAGGCCACCATCGTCAAGAACACGGCTCAGCTCTCCAAGATCCCACGTCATATGCTCTCCACGGTTCTACATCAAATCATCACTTAGTAAGCGGAGAACACCACTGCAATATAGTCTGTTATCCCCACTACATTGATATAGTATATCACTGCGGTCTCTATAGGAGGAATATCGGACGATATATATTTGAACGAATTAAAACCGTTCGATGTCTATAGCTATCACTACGGTAGGAGATATTGTGGGATTTATACCACTAACTAACACGTTATCTTCATTTCTTTCCGATATTTCGATACTTCTTACTATAAGAATATGACCTTTCTCTGTTTTTTATGGGCAATTATTACAAATTAATCCTCTACACTTAATACACCTTCCTAATTAGGCCTTAGCGCACCTCTCTCCGCACATATATACCTATATATCATATAGATTAAATTAATTTTATAGTGGTGGAAGTAGGTTAAAAACGCATAGTAAGCGATTAGAGTTCGATTTAACTTAGGGCTAGGGCTAAAATTCGATTTAACTTAGAAAAATCCAACTTCATTTGACTTAGAAAAATGAAAAATCTAACTTTATAAATTTAATTTATAGATCTTTACTTATATAATATTATATAGCTAGATAACTCTAATATATTTAAATAACTTAAAAATTTATTAAAAGTCTTTTTAAAAGAGCTATTTAATAGTTTTAATATATATAATTAAATTAAATACTTAATTAATCTACTATTTAAAAAACTATCTAGAAATAATTTAATTTATAATATATTATATAATAAATTTATAGCGATTAAGAATTATCTAAATACTACGCTTAAGAGAAAATAAATTTAATTTTTAATTAATTAGATTAGCTCGTTAATACTATTTATTAAAAAATTAAATAACTTATTATAATTTTACGAGTAAAGGTCTATAAATTAAATTTATAATTTTTTTTTTAATTAAGACTATCGAGTAAATAGATAAGCGATCTTTAATTAATAAGCGATATTTGAATTTCTTACGCTTTAATAATTATAAGACTAAATTTAGAATTTTTTTTATCTAAAAGCTCGTATTTCGTTCTATAATTAAAAAAAAAAAAAAAATTTAATAAAAAATAAAAAAGTTATTCTAAAATTAAATATTATATATCTATTTTTTAATTAGAGCTATTCGGCTATATTTTTTTAATAGTTATAAATACTAATTTATTTACTCGCGATAACTTAGTCGATCTAATTAAAGAGCGTAATAACTCTAAATTTATAATTAGCTATATATATAAATTTAAGATTTTTAAGCTTAGCTCTATCTTATTCTTTTATATATATTAATATTAACTATTAAGAGCTTAATAAGATAACTATTAAAAATAATTACTCGTTATCGCTATTTTTAGAAACTCTAAAAAGATTTATATATATAAAGTACTTTATTAAAATTAATATTTATAATATATATTATAGAATATAAGTATAAAAGAAAGATAAGTAAAAAATTATCTTTTAAACTTACTATAACTAATTCGAGTATTAAATAATATCTTTTAATCTTATAAATATTTTTATAATCTTTTAAACTTATATAAATAAAGTATTTAAATTATATATTAATATCTTCTATATAATATACTTAGATAATATACTAATTTATTCAAAAAAAAAAGTTATATTAGAAGTATATATATAAAATACTACGCGTATTATTAAAGTATTAACTCTATATAAAGTTATCGAAATATACTTTTAATCGTAATAAGATTATCTTTTTAAAGTTCTTAATAAACTAGCGTAATATCTAAATAAAGTTATCGCGTATTAAGATTATTACTAAATAATTAGAATCGAAGTCTATTAAGAATATCTTAATCTTTCTAAGATTTATAAACTTCTATTAATAATTTATATAAGACTTTTTATAGATAACTATATCTTTAATAAATTTAATTTAAAAAATAAAGAAAGATAAGATTAGATTATTCTTTATATTTAATAAGAAAGTATATAAAGCTTTTAAAATACTTAAGCGAGTATTTATTATTATATTTATACTAAAATATTATAATTAAAAAGTATTATTTATTATAAAGATTAATATTTTTAATATAAATATAAATAATATATTTAATTAACTAAGCGAGAATAAGTAATAATATTCTATTACTTTTTTTAACTATAAATTTAAAGATATTAAATCTTATTAAAATATATATAATAAGAAGCTCTATATAATTATATTAGACTTTAAGAATTAAAGATATTATTTATAAGATAATAAGTACTCTATTTATATAATCTTAGATTATAATAATTTATATTATTTTATAATAATAAAAGAGTTTAATATAAAGTAGATTCGCTAGATTAAGAAATTAGTTATATTTAACTTTATAATTAAATATTATAAGAGAAAATTTAACTCTATAAATATATCGTTAAGAAGATTTAATATTATTAAATTAAATAATAGCGAGAATAATAATAATAATTTTCTCTTTATCTTATAAAATAAACTTTATAATTAGAAATATTAATTTAATCTATAAAAATATAATAGTATATTTATTATAGTTAAACTTATAGCGTTAATAAAGTAATTAAATATTATTATTATTATAGATATCTAAATTATTAATTTAAATAAGAGAGTATTTAATAGATAAATATATATTCTAGATATTACGATATCGTTTTAACTTCTAATTTATTAAACTTTAAAATTAAAGAGATTCTATTTAAAGTTATAAAAATTAATAATAATATAATTACTTAAATTATAATATAAGAATACTTTTATTATAAATAAGAAGTAATATTAAAGATACGCTATTAAATAAAATAAGCTTTTAAAATAGAGAGTTAATAAGAATAGATTATTATATTATAATCTCGCAGTCTATATATCTAATAACTCTACTATAAAGAAAAATATTCTTTATATAAATTATAATAATTTTAATATTAGATATTTTACTTATAAATATACTAAAGAGAGTATTAGATTTAAGTATTATTAAATAAATATAATAAGCGATATAATAGAATATATTTATATTTATCTCGATTATTAAAGAATATAAGTTTATTATTATAAGTTATATAGCGAGCTAATATCGATTCTTTTAAATAATATAAATCTATTTTATATTATAATACTAGATTTTATTATAGACTTATTATCTATAAGGAATTCGTATATTAATAAAATTTATAATATTATCTTAGTCTTAATAGATAAGCTAATTAAATATAAATTATATATTATAATTATAAAGAATTTAAAGATTAATAACTTTATTAATATCTTATAATAGAAGTTTATATTATTATATAATATAATATATAACTTAATTTTAAATCGAGATTTTCTATTTATAAGTAAGTTTTAAATAACGCTATATTAATATTTAAATACGAAGTATAAATTAAATATTATATTTTATTCTTAGACTAATAATTAAATTAAGAGATAAAATTAAGTTTTTAAATATTACTTATAAGTATATTATAATTATAAATAAAATAACTAGTTTAAAATCTTATTAATAGCTACGTTTATATATAAAAATAGTATATATATAAGTATTAATAAGATTTTATAAGAGCTATTTATAAAATATATAATAGATTTAAGAAATATTCTTAAAAGTAAAATCTTAAGAAGAGAAGTATTACTTATTATAGAGTAAGTAAAATAATTATAAGAGATAAGATTATATTTAAAAGAATTATAAAAGTAAATATTAAAATAGTAAGTAAAATACTATAATAGTAATTATAAGACTATAATCTTTAAAAAAAAATTATTATAAAGCTTAAATATATATATCTTATAATTAAAAAAGAAATTTAATTATAAATAGCTTAAATCTTTTAAAGTATTAAAGAAAATAAATATATAGATTTATAAACTAGATCTCTCTACTAGATATAAAAGAATTTATCTTATATTTTATATATTACTATTAGAGTTATAATACTCGCGTAATAATAATTTAAAATTATAAGTAATTTTAATTAATAAAGAAGAAGAGTAGAAGATTAATAAGATATTAAATAAAAGAGTTTATAAAAGTAAGACTAAGTATCCTATTAATTAAAAAGACTCTTTATCTTATAAAGCTTCGTAGAAATTAATAGAGTATCTGTTAAGGAATCATTATGGTTTGAATCATATATGTGTGTGTTGTAAAAGATGTTGATTGTTCTGTGCCTGCAGGTAGATATGTGCGGTGCCAAGCCTACGCTAGTGGCCCTATGAGTATCCCTGAGGCATCTCATGACAATTGCCCACAAAAAACAGAGAAATGCCATGTCCTCATGGCAAGAAGTATGCATGCATGAATGAGTTTTCGAAATGCTGGAAAGGAATGGAGATGCCGGGCCAATTAGTAGTGTGAATCCCACGAGTTCTCCTGCCGCAGTGAAACCTTTTGAATGGCATCGAAGCAAGATATCGGACGGTTTCAATTCGTCCAAATATGCACTGTCCGATCTTCCTCCTGATCTTCCTCCTGCAGTGGTCTAATTGGCTGTGATCGACGCAGTAGATCCTCCTCTTGTGACGTCATTCCAGTGATGTACCATATCAATGTGATATGGCTGAGGCACGCAGAGATAGCAGGCCAAATTGTAGTGTCGTTCTCCGCTTGCTGAGTGGCGATTTGACGGGGAATTGTGGAGAGGTGAGCCGTGTTCTTGGTGCTGGGGGGCCTTGCCGTCGCTTGGTTTTTCCGTAACGTTCTCCGCATTTGCCTGTTGTAGTTCCTCCTCTTGTTTCGTCATTGGCTGAGTAGATGCAGTGGCTTGTTGGACGGCTTGTAGATACCTTCTCTTATGTTGCTGGCGAGTCTTCTGATTCCGGTTCTTCTTTTTCTGCTGTGTTGCACGTACAAATGGACACTCCGGTGATCGAGTAGCGTGAAAATCGAATGGACTACCGTCACTATACCAGTCACAAGGATCAAGACCGCATAGTGAGCACACCGTTAGATCCGGAGATGGAAAAGTAGGGTCGTATTCTCGATGAAAGCCAGCACGGGCTACGGTAGAGGCACTTGGACACACATGTGGCCATGACGTGAATGAGGCGAGTCTCTCAGCGTATGAGTTCATGATGATATCGATAGGCCTATTGAAAGGATCGATTTGGGCGGGTTTTGTCAAAAGGTACTCGATGACGCGAGTGTATTGGAGGTCCGGCTTGGAGCGTCACACTATTAGGTGTTGATGTGGGCTTTGCGTAAACGTATGGTGTAGACGTGAAGACGTCTACTACATCGTAGGATCAAGTGGAATTAGATCTTAAGGTGTTGCTACCAATTGTTAAGGAATCATTATGGTTTGAATCATATATGTGTGTGTTGTAAAAGATGTTGATTGTTCTGTGCCTGCAGGGCAAATATGTGCGGTGCCAAGCCTACGCTAGTGGCCCTATGAGTATCCCTAAGGCATCTCATGACAGTATCTTAAAAATATTAAAAATATAATTAAGAACTTTAAATAAGTAAAGAAGTTATATAAATTAGTATTTAAGATAAAATCGAAAATATAATTATTAAAAGAAATTAAAAAGTAAGATAGATTAAGAAAATAATAGTAATAGAGAGTTTAAATAGATAAATAAAATTATAATTAAAAGGTTTAGCGAATATAATTAAAAAGTTTATAGACTTATTCTAAAGCGTTAAAGCGTTATATATTATAAAAAAAAGTAGCTATTAAAGCTATATATATAATTATTACTATTTAATATTAATTTATTTATTCTTTTTATATTAGAAAGTAATTTTTTATCTAGAAGATTTATTAAATAATAGAAAGATTTAATATAAAAATAGCGAAAGAAGTAATCGAAGAGAAAGTAAAGATTATAATATTATATTAAAGTTTTTTAATATAGTAAACCGCTACGTATATTAGCTATATATTCTAATATATATTAATTAAAATTTATATTATTCTATACTCGAAGAATAGAATAAATATTTCTATTAAAGTAAGTTATAGCGAAGATAATAGTCTAATAATAGAAAGATATCGAGTTTACTCTATATATATAACTCTTATAAAAGTATTATTTATACTTATATTAATATAAGCTAATAGAAAATATAATATAAATTATATAAGAATTATATATAAGTATATATATATAATAAAAATAGAAGAATTCTTAATATATATTAGCGTAATCTCTTAATTATTTAATATCTCTTTTATTTATAAAAGAAGATAAAAATAATAGCGAGAGAAGCTATTAAATCTTTTTAGTTAAATATATATTTAAAATAGATATAAATATCTATTAGCTATAGTAGATATAATAGAAATTATAATAGCTATAAGAACTTAATAGTCTATAGAGCTATAAGAGCGAAGACTACTTACTACTACTAATATATTAATATACTTCTTATATTATCTAAAAAGTATTATAAAGTATTTTTTAAAATATTTATTATATATAAAGTTAATCTAAATAACTTTAATCTTATAATTATTACTTTAATTAATATATATATTATATTATTATAATAATATATAGCTCGCTATTATAATATTATAATAAGAATAAATAAAGATAAGATAATAGATATAAAGAAGAATTAAATACTTACTAGTATTAGTATTAATATTATTATTAAAAAAAATAAAAAGTTAAATTAGAAGTAAGAATTTTATATTTATTAACGCGATTTTTATAATTATAATAATAGAATTACTATAATAATAGAATTACTATAATAATAGAATTACTATAATTATTAAAGTAATAATAATTATAATAGTATATAATAATAGCGATAATAATATATTATAATAAGATAGTATTATATCTATATTCTATTAATTAAAATAATAATATATATAGCGATACTATCGCGAGTTAGTATATAAATATATTAATATATTTAAGAAGATCTTAGAATAAGTAATTTAAATACGCTATTATAGTATATATTAGTTTAGATTATATTTAAACTAATAATAAATAATATATATTAAATTAATAAATTTATAATATTTAATTATAAGACGTAATAATAATAAGATTTAAAGATTATATCTTCTAAAATAGAATATAGTTATAAGAGTAAAAGTACTTAAAGTAAATTAATAAACTTACTTATATTACTTATTAGATTATAAGCTATATAGCTAAAGCGAATATTTAATATACTTAATAAAGTCTTAAATACTTACGAGTCTTCTTTCTCTTTCTTCTTTCTTTAATTATTAGTTTAACTAATTACTAATCTATTTATTCTATTAACTACGTATCTAAATCTCGTAATTATTACGAGCGTATTCTATATTCTTAATATATTACTTAGCCCTCTTACTTATTCGAGCCTAGCGTATCTTAATAGAGATATTTATCTATTATTTAATATCTCTCTTTTATCTATATAATTCGATATCTTAGTTATCTTATTTAATATATTTATATTTATATTATATTTATATTAATATTATATTTATATCGATTCTAATATTATAACTAAGATTAACTTACTTATTTTATTCGTATAATAAATGAATTTAAAGAAATACGCTAATAGAGACTTTAATAAGAAATTAAATTAAGCTATCGTATTTCTAAGTAAGTTTATTTAATAGATAATTCGATTTTATAGCGAATTAAACTCGATAAATAGTAGTCGAGAGATAAATAAGATATTGAATTATTTATACGACTAGCGAATTAAAAGAAATAGTTAATACCACTTTATAAATATATATAAGCTTTCTTATATATAACTTCTCTACGAGATAAGAGACCCTCTAGACGAAGTAACTATACTCGAAAGAGTACTATTTAAAGTATCTATAGTCTTCTTAATACTTTAAATAATTAAGAGATAAGTATATTAAACCCTCGTAAAGAAATACTCCTTAGACTTTATAGTAAAAAAAATTTATTCTTAATATCGAATAATTTCGACGCGTCTTAAAGAAACTTTACTATTCTCTAATATATTTAGTATTTCTAACACCTATTCTTTTAAAGCATTTAAACTTCTCTCTACTTTATTTTAATTCTTCTTTTCTATAGTAAAGTCTAATATTAAAAGAATAAATTAAATTAAGATCTTATTAGAGTAAATTAAGTTTTAACGAGTATTAATTTTATTAGATAATATAGTTAACGAGATAGACTTAATAGATATATCTTAAAATATCGCTAGTATCTAATAACTATAATATTAAACTAAGTATTAATTCGACGAATTTATAATTATATTAAATAAGATTTATTAGAAGCGAGACGATTTTTAAGAGAATATTATTCGATATTATATCTTTATAATAGAAAAGAATCTAGTTATAAATAATCTATTTTAGACTTATAAAATAATTAAAAAAATAAATTAATTAGCTTAAGACTTTTAGAGAAATATAATTTCTCTATAGCGAAAAGTTAATAATCTTAATTTATAGTCGATAAAGAACTTATAACTACTCTCAATCGAGGAAGAATATATATCTAGATATTTAAAAGAGAAATTAGTTAAGGTTTTAGATCTATCTCTATTTATCGACGATAGCGATCTTATCTAGAACGACTAATTCTTTAGAATAAAATAGAAATTTAAGATTAATAGCGATTATTATCTTATTAAAGACTTTAAAATAGTTTATATAATTTTATAACTCGGCGATAAGATTATATAGTATATTATATATAAAAGACTTTAAAACTTTATTAACTTATATTAATCTATTAATAAGATTATAAACGAGTTAATCGATATCTATAAGAACTTAGATTGATATAATAATATATAATATAATATATATACTTTATAGTAAGAAATTCAACCCTTTATTAACTTCTATTTAGACTTTATTCGACTAGCTATCGTTCTTAATATTAAAAAAATCCTTTTATTAAAGAATTATCTTTTAAAAAAATTAAGATTTAACTTAAGGGAGTTATAAAATATTATAGGGGGTTTTATTACCTTAAAGGCTATAAAGAAATATCTTCGAAAATTAAATAACTTATATTATACTAGATATAAAGATATAGAGTTTATAAAGACTACTATTAAGTTAACTATAATACGAACTACGATTAATATATATCTTATATCTATTACTAGAGCTATAATCGCTATATCTCTAAATATTAAAATTAATTTAAAATTAAGAAAATTAATATACTATAATTACGATAAGAAAGATTACTATCGAAGTATTTATATAATAACTATCTAGATTAAGATCGATAAAAAGGCCTTCGAGAAAGTACGACTTTACGCGATAGAAATAGATAAAGAATTTAAAATTAATAACGTCGATATTATAGATAGTAACGGTATTTTATTAAATTCGAAAAACGAATAGTCTCTTCTAAAGTTACGATAAGAGGTATTTATAAAGTATACTTAATAGATATTCTTAATAACGCTCTAGCACGTTATTCTTTCTATATATAAATTACGCTTTTCTTATAAGAGAGAACTTATCTACTTTAGAACTTTCTTATAAATAATAAATATATTAATACTTATATAGTTATAAATAAGTTCTTAATCTTAGTAATATATAAGATCTTATATTTAAAATTACTTTTATTATTATAATCTAAACTATTAAGAGATTATAACGATTAGATCGTAAATAATTAATTATATATTACTTATTTTCTACGATAATAATAAAAGACTATTAAAAAGGAATATATCTAATATTAATTATATTATTAAAATACGATATAATAATTAGAAAATCTTAGATAAATAAATACGAGGTAGTTTTTAATATATTATAAGATAAGATACTCTTTCTACTTAATCGATATAATTATAATAATAATTAGATATTAATAATAAACGAACTTTTCTTTCTATTAACTTCGAAGCTTCGATTATTTATACTATTTATCTTCTTATCTATTATATTAAAATAATAAAGCTCTTCTTTATCTATCTACGATAATAAGACTAATTTAAATATCTTTTTATTAAATAAGAACGAGAATAATAAGGAGTCTAAGTTTATTAATATCGCTAAGATTAATATAGCGGCTTACTATTAACTAGTCTATAAAAAAGATAATAAACTATTTATATTAATAATAAATAAGATCTATAATAACTCGTTAA